TTTAGAATATTTTTTAAGCTCTTTCAGAAATTCTTTTTGGGCTTGTGACCAATTCATATTTTTCTTTGAAGCTTTGGATATAGCAGTTTTGACTTAGTTGTCTTCTGAGTTTGTTTCTTAATCATCCCTTAATGGTCAGGTTCTTTTTGTTGTTGTTTGCTCATTTCTCCAGTCTATTTCTTAATTATAATTTTATGTTAAAGTTGGCCTCTACTCCTGGGGTGGAGAGAGCATTATCTCAAGCTTCAGGTCTTTCTTGCTGCTATTTTCAGAGCTAGTTCTAGGGGTCTGTAGGTTTTCTGTTCTTCCAAGGTGGTATGATCTAAGGAGAGTTGTGTTTACTATTCTCCTGGTCTTTGAGCAACTACAAGCATTCTTCTCCACCCTGGAACTGTGACCAGGGCCTCTGTATGCCTTCAGTCTCAAGTACTTGTGAGTGAGTGCTCTTCTTAGCTCTCAGACTGTGTCTGGGAACTAAGTATAGGCAATGCGACAGAGTCCTGCATCCAGTGCCAACAAAGGATCCCCTGTAATTTCCTTCTGACCAGTTGTCTGACCCCCTTGAGAACTCCTAAAGTTGCTACTATTGATGAATTGCCTTGAAGGTCTGCTGCTGGCACTTTCTGAGCTGGGCTCCAGGTCTGCCCACCACCCCACTGAGACACACCTTTCCTGCTGACCTCCTAAGTTATCCTGGCCTGAAAAATTGTTTCATCTTGACCTTTTGTTGGTTCTGCTACCCTAGAATTCAATTAGAGATGTTATTTTAAAGTTATTTGGAGAGGAATTCAGGGGAACTCAGGTGAGTCTCTGCTTTCACTCTGCCATATTGGCTCCACCTCCCCCTAAACAATTTAAAAAAAAATCGTCCCCTGTAACAGATAAATGTGGACAAGCAAGGAGGGCCATTTCTTTTTAGAGAAGACTATCTTCGGAAAGCCCCTGTTGAATTAAAAATGTTTAGGAGGGGGGGAAGGTGTGGTATATGGGGAAGGGGGAGGCATGGAGCTCCAGCCTAAGAACAAATTAATTAACTCCTTTGCCAAGATGACAAAGTTCCCCAGTTCCATGTAGAATAGGGCCTGCCTGAAGGGACTGGGCACAGGCCAAGTAAATCCAGGACCTGAAGCAGCATGTGGAGGGCAGGACTGGGTAGGTCATTCATGGGTAGGGGTAAAAGGGTCATGGGCGGTTGGAGGGAGGGAATTCCAGGTACAGCAGGGCACCAGACAGGCTCCCACAGTGTGGATGGAGAACACATGAGTGTGTTCACACACTGGCCTGATCCAGCCATACCCAATGGCAGGTTCTGAAGTGCTTATCTCCCTGCAAGGGCAACTTCTACTAGCAGAGCCTTTCTGACCATTAACCATGTTGGTGACCCCAGGACAGTGCTCTCTTGTGCTGAGCTCGTTTCCTGCTCTGCAGCTCTAGCCTTTAAACCTCCCTGTGCCCTTGGAATGGGTGGGCAGGTGGAAAAGGAGGGCAGCAAGATAGGAGGAGGAAAGAGGAAGCTATTAGCTACTTTCTTTCATCTCAGAACTCAGTGGTCCCTCCAGCTGTGTGACTCTGGGCAAGTCACTTAACCCCGACTGCCTCACCAAAAAAAAACAAAAACAAAACAACTCAGTAGTCCCAAGGCCCCCAGGAAGAAAACAGCTCAGAATTTGCTTGTGACCTATCAGTCTTTAAATGCTTTTTCTCTCCTCTGAAACATTTCTCTGCCCTAGATCCTAAGCATTGTCTCTTCGGCCTCTGACCAGCCAAAGTCTCCCACCTCCATTGAAGCTTTGCCTTTCCATACTGCTGAGGCCATAGAAGGTCAAGTACCTAGTGGCTGGCAGGAGAGAGTTCCATACCCAACACCCTTCCCAGGGCTGGCCTAGGTGGGTCCTGGGTGGTACAAAGATCCCAGGTACTTGAAGGGAGAAAATACCAGGAACCTTTCCTTCTCAGTCAGGGACAGTAGTGGCTGGTGCCGCTGATACCTGGGCCAAGTCTCCATCTGGAGAGATGATATTATCAAGGTGGGAGGCTGACCCCACTCATTCCCTCCAGTGGTCTCCTCTTCTGAGTGCCCATGCAGGGTAGGCATTTGCTGACAGATTTCAGATTACACATTCCTGCCAGACACGTCTCTTTCCCACCCTGCCCCACCCCTACTGGCAAAGTGAAGGATTATCTCAGAGTAGCCAGAGAGGCTGAACCCTGGTCTGACACCAGGGGGTGAAGGGAGGGACATCACCTCATTCTGAGGCAGGGCCCCCAAAGCTCCTGCTCCACCCCCGATAAGAGGCTCCAGGAGCCTCAAGTTTCTATTGTGGCGTCTGCCTTGAGCCCAGCCCCTAGCTCTGACCCTCAGCCTGGGGCAGCTCACATCAGAGCACCTTCTAGACACCTTCTAAACCCCAGAAAAAAGACCAACGTCTGCTACTAGTGAGTGATGATCCAGAGACCAACCATCACCCACCCCGAACTGGGTAGTGGAAGGTCAAAGGACCTGAGTTCAAATAGCAGCTTGGTCAACTTCTTATATGGCTTAGGCTACGTCACTTCCTCATCTGGCCCTGTGGCCTCACATACGTGTAATCCATGTCCCACATAGAAAATGCAGGAATTGGACTGGATGGTGTCTAAGGTCCCTTCCAGTTCTAAATCTGATTCTTAGAGCTTGAGTCCTCAGGGAAGCTTGCCCAGGACCCTGGGAGGGTGGGTTTAGTGAAATATGTGGGTGGAGCCGGTCATTACCCTAGGAGGAAGAGGATGTGATTCATACTTAAACATTAGTCATAGGTGACTATTCAAAACCTGAACAGCTGGACAGGTTTAATTTGCACCCTAATTCCCCAAGGAAGTTTAGATCCCAGCTCTACTTCCATCTCTGAGGCTTTGGGAGTCTTTAGCTATTGTACTCAGTTTCCCGAAGGAGGGTACAGTAGCTTTCAGTATCTCCTTTCTGTTAGAGTAGTCCCAGATCCCAGGCTATGGAGGAGAAGTAGAAGGAAGTCTGGTCTGGTGTGGTAGAGAGAAACAGGCTGGGCTGGAGTAGTGTACCAGCCTGTACTAGGGTCCATAGCTACCCTGTGAGTCAGACGCTGAAACATGCATATCCACCCCTTCTCACGCCTAGCTCTTCATGAGGATATTCATCTCTCTTTCCACAATTTCGTTCTTTCCAAGCCAAGCAACTCCCTGAATGAGGCCAGGGGGAATGATGCTCTTGGAGAACAAGCCTAGGCCACATTCCTCACCCACTTGTACATTCCTTGTCCCTCCCTGCCTTCTGCACGTCTCCAGAGTACTTGGACCCTGCCAACCCCCTGCACATGTCCCCCGGAACTGACTTTTATCGTCTGGTCAGCAGATTCCATCTGAAAGGCATCCCCTCCGAGGCCATGACTAGCGGAAAAGCTGCTGTTAGTTGTCACCCCATTCTGCTTCTCTTAGCTGCTCTCCCACGGGGGGGTGGGGGGTGGGGGGGGAACCAAACAAAAAAAAAACTAGGCAGGTCCCTTTGGAAGAACAGAGGAGAGTAGAACCCCAGCTGGGGACATGCAAGTTTGAAGCACGAGGTCTTTGGGTTCAAGTAATCCCCAGTTATAATTTAATCACGGTCCAGAGGCCGATAACATTGAATATTTCTTTTTTTTTTTAAACTTATTTCTTGGGAACTAGCCTAAGGTCTCTGTGGGCCACATTCTTAGCTTGTATCCCCCACAGGACCCGGTTCCCTGGGTTAGGTTTGATTCTTTGCTTAATGTTAATGGTAGAATAAAGAAACCAAGTTTCAAATTGGGACCGAGGCTCTCTGTAACCAAGGACCCTGAAGTTTGGTTTCTATACAATTAAAATACAGTTTGGAGGGAGTGAAAAACAGGATTAGAGGCACTGAGACATCCGGTTTCTCGGTGGTGGAGGATTTTGGTAGACACTGAAGTAAAAGGGTGAGGGGGTAGTTTTGTGACATTCCTTAAGCTGAGTGACCTTTGGGACTTCTCCAAAATCAGATGACTTTGAAGCAGCAGAAACTTAGCCTCACAAAATGGTGGATAAAGGCAAAAGGGAGTCACTAATGCTATTTTTAATATAATACCCAGTCCCCTGGGTTAGGCTTGAATTCTTTGCTTTTCCCTTTGGGCGAAGCCATTTGGGAAAATAAAGCATAACTATCCTCTCAGAACTTTAAGTCCCATGTTGGGGCCAGGAAATCCAGTGGACTCCAGTGGTTTACATGGTACCTGGCATATAGTTGGTGCTTACTTAGTAAGTGCTAGATGACTGGTTTGCCTCAAGTCCCCGCAAGAACAAGGGAAGAGTGAGGCTCAGGGCCTTGATCTTAGTGCCATCTCCTGGCGGCTGTTAGATAGCAAGGCAGAAGCCAAGAAATGATTCTACTCCTGCCCTTGCCAACTGTCCTTTCTGACATTGGTGATATACTATATACTATTGACTAGTTGGTCAGCCCTCTCCTTGGATAGTGAGCTATGGGTTTAGGAAAAATGACTGGGTAGACATTTTTACTCTGCAGCCTAATCTGGAGACTTGAGGTCTCAAATTGCCAGTTACTCTCACGGAACTAATGGGCTGGTGGGTGTTATCTTGGATAAAATGTTAAGGTGAAATCATGGATTCAAATCCTCCCTTAATCCCTCTGTGACACTGATGAGGAGGGAAAGGGTAAAAGGAGAGAGAGAAGAATAAACGGAAAAAAAAATAGGTTGGAGGGAAATATACAATAATCGTAACTGTGAATGGGATGAACTCGTGGTTCCATAAAATGGAAGCAGCAAGCAGAGTAGATTAAAATCCAGAATCCTACAATATGTTGTTTATAAGAAACACACTTGAAGCAGAGAGACACACACAGAGTAAAGGTAAGGGGCTGGAGCAGAATCTATTACGCTTTAGCTAAAGTAAAAAAAAAACAAAACGGGTAGTAATCATGATCTCAGACAAAGCAAAAGCAAAAACAGATTTAACTGAAAGAGATAAGCAGGGAAATTACATTTTGCTAAAAAGTACCACAGATAATGAAGTAATATCAATATTAAACACATATACACCAAATGGTATAGCACCCATATGAACGAGGTTCCCTAAGACTGCCCATTCTAACACAGCTCCCCTCCACTTCACATCCCCCCCCCAAAACATACACCAATGAGGCCAACGGACTGGTCACCACTGTGTGTCCACCAAGCTCCACAGATAGTCACTGATAAACTTCTTAGAGTGCTGGGTGCTGTCGAAATGGATAGGCTGGGCAATGTTGGGGCCATGATGAACTGAGGAGCCAAAGTAAAGGAAAACAAATTTCTATTTACAACCCCCGCGCCCCCATTGGGACCCTTGACCCCTTGACAGTCAGAGAAGGATACTGCCTTTGATCACAGTTGGTTCACATTCATAATCCCACTCAATTTTACTGACTCGATGATAAAGTTGAGACACATATCTGCAAAAGAAAACACAAAAGGTTTGGTGACTGGGAATATGTTAATATTCTAGTTGTAAGTTATTAGGAGTAGTATAGTTTCATCCATTGAAAGAAATTTTGATCCCTTTAACCTATTTGGGCCTCAGGTTTCCCATCTATAAAATGAAAGGGGCTGGACAGGATGATCTCTAAGCTTCCTTCCAGCTCTAAATCCTATGATCCTTCCAAGCATTAACAGAGTTTCACGAGCTGGGGTAGCCAATCTTTTGGTGATCTCTGTACTTAATTTGGCTGCTCCTTGAATGATGATTGGCAACGGGGCCCAGTTTGGTATGACCTGACAGAACTCATGCTCCACTGGTACAACCTCCAAGAACCCACAGTCACCTCCATACCATTTTGAAGCATCAAAGTGGGATGTAATGGACGCTGTCAAGAATCTCTGCTGAAAGTGGAGGCCATTCTATTGGGTCAAACACTTCACATCTCACATGAGCATGGCTTCCTGGCGATGTACATTACGGGACACTTACACAGCCGAAGGGATCACAACAGTCGAATCTTCATCCACTTCTCCTTCTGTCTTTGTGAGGTCTTGCTCCATTTCCTTGAGTTCTTCTAGCTCTTTCATCAACAGAGTGCAACAGGAAGTTAAAGAGATATTCATTTTTGAATACTCCCCTCTAGGTCCTATCAAAATCACAATACTGGTCTCTAATATGAGCAGCTTTCTTCCAAATCCACAAATATATGTAATTCATAAGAAACCCTAAGTATATTTCAAAGGACAAGTCTTTGCTGGAGGCTAGCTTTGAATTCAAGCTTTTGGAAAAGGATAGTAGAAGCTATCCCAACAGATAAACGGTCAGAGTTTGACTAGGTAGTTGTCAAAAGAAGAAATACAAGCTATCAATAACTACATGAAAGAATCCTCCCAATCACTAATAAAATAAATGCAAATGAGGTTTCAGCTCTCTGAGGTTTCACTTGGCTTCCAAACTAATATAGATGACAAAAGATGAAAATGATAAATGTTGGAGGGGCTATGGGAAAATGAGCACACTACTGCACTATTGATGGAGCTATAAATTGTTGGAAAATAAGTAGGACTTATACTTAAAAAAGTCACTAAAGTGTATAAACTTTTTGACCCAATAATTCTACTACTAGGCATATATTCCAAGGAAGTCAAAGACGGAGGGAAAGGTCTCATAAATACAAAAATATTTTAGTAGCACTTTTTGAAATAGCAAAGAACTGGAAGGAAAGTATATAGCTATCATTTGGAGGATGTTTGAAGAGTATGAAGAAGTCATACTCATGGGAAAACGTGTATGAACTTAAGCAGAGCAAAGTAAACATCATCCTAACAACTGACATGATGACCATAATCAGGTAAAGGAAAATGGCACAGAAAATCTTGGAATTCCTGGTTGGTGCAGCAGCTAATCATGACTTCTGAGGACTGACGATGAAACTTTTCTCCTGCCTCTCCGTAAAGAGGTAGCAGAGTATACATGTGGAATAAGGTAGATACTTTGACATGGTCAATGGTTTGATTAGTTTCTCTATGACTGCATTTATGTGTTAGAGAAGTAGCTTAATATAGGGGATAGAAAGCTGGCCTTTGGGCCAGGAAGGCCTGGATCCTAGCCCTGCCTCTGACATGTGTCGGCTATGTGACCCTGGACAAGTCCCTTACCTCTCAGTACTGTAGGCAGCTCTCCAAGACTAAAAGTTACAGAGAGGTGCCAACCTGCATTGGTAGAAGGAGTTTTCTCATTCAGATGTTCCCTAGATCAATGAAATCATAGGTCTAGTCTCTATCTCCACTTATGTGTTATAACTGATAATTCCCTAGACATGGGGGTAGTCACTGGAAAGTTATAGTGATGTGAAAAAAAAAACAATACAATATTTTAAAAGAAAAAGGACAAGGATATTGGAGATCAGCCTTTAGACTGGCATCCTTCTCGCTGGTTTTCTGAAGCTCAGATTCAATTTTCTGTAACTTGGATTCAACGTGTTGTGCTGTTTCCTCCTCATCAATTAGTTTCTGGGCCACATCTTCCTCCATAGCAAGGATCTCTGCAGACAGACCAGAAACGGTATATTCAACATCAGATGCTTAGTTAGGAAAAATAGTGAATAGCCAGGGTTCCCTTTCCTTCTGGGAAAACAGGAAATGTACAGTACAAATAAGAGGTGTTTTTCTTTTTTTTTTTAATTCAATTTTATTTTTAATTCCAAATTATCTCCCTTCCCCATCCCCTTACTGAGAAGACAAGAAATACAAAACCTATTACAAAATGAAGTCACACCCAAAAATTTCTGCATTAGACATGTTCCAGAAAAAAAAAAAAAGCAAGAAAAAGAGAAAAAAAAGCTTCAATTTTCATTCTGAGTTCATCAGTCTGTTATTTGGAGGTGTATAGCATTTTATATCATGAGTCCTTTGGAAATATCTTGGATTATTGCACTGTTCAGAGTAGCTAAGTCTTTCAGAGTTACTTATCTTTACAATACTGCTGTTTCTGTACAATGTTCTCTTGGGTCTGCTCACTTCACCTGGCATCATACAAGTCTTCCCAGGTTTTTCTGAAACCAGCCTCTTCATTATTTCTTACAGCACAATGGTATTCCATCACAATCATATGCTACAACTTTTTCAGTCATTCCTCAGGTGATGAGCATCCCTTCTTTGCCACCACAAAAAGACATATTATATTTTTATGCATATGAGTTGTTTTTCTTTTTCTTTGATCTCTTTGGGGGTATAGAATTATTTCTGGGTCAAAGGATATGCAAATTTTAGTAGTTTTCTGGACATAGTTCCAAATTACTTTCCAGAATGGTTAGACTAGTTCACAGCTTCACCAGCAGTACATTAGCATACCTGTTTCCCGCATTCCTCCAGCATCTGTGACTTTCCTTTTCTGTCATCTTAGCCAATCTGATGAGTATGATGTGGTACCTCAGTTGTTTTAATTTGCATTTCTCTAATTACTAGGGATTTAGAACATTTTTCATATGACTACTGATTTTTCCTCTGAAAACTAACTATTCATATCCTTTGATCATTCATCTAGTGAAGAATGACTCTAATTCTTATAAATTTGGCTCAGTTCCCTATATATTTGAGAAGTGGGACCTCTATTTAAGAAACTTGCTGCAAAGATCTCCCCCGCCCTGCTATCCTGCTCTTCTAATTTTAATTGCATTGGTTTTGTTTGTGCAAAATTTGATCTTTTAATTTTAGTTGCATTGGTTTTGTTTGTGCAATTTTAAAAAAAATTTCATGCAATCAAAATTATCTATTTTACCTTCTGTGAACCTTCCTATCTCTTGTGTGGTCAGGCATTTCCAAATGCATTTCCCCAAAGACAGTCTTTCCTTTACCTTGCCTTTAAGAGACAGGCATGGTCTGGGGATATTCCTCTCTTGGCTGAGGGCCACAAGCAGCCTGAGCATGCCTGGCACCAGGGGCAAAAGAGTAGGGTAAGAGAAGCTGCAGGACTGGACACTCCTATCTATCCTCCCCACTCCAAAGACAGCTAAAACGACTCATGGATGCCCCTACTCTAAGGGCTTAGGAGCAAGGGGACTAGGCCCAAGCCCTACACTCTCCACTTCGATGGCTGCCCATTTTCCACTCTCCCTTCAAGGTTCAGCTCAAAAACCACCTCCTTCATGAAGATTCTCTGGTCATTTCAATCACAAATGATCCTCTCCTTTCCCTGAATTCTTGAAGTGTTTTTGTCCTGTGTTTGCAATATTCATTCATTCAAATGCTGAGTAAGCAGTAATATTTATTTCTAATCCAAAATACATTTATTAAGGGCCTACTGTGCCAGGCACTGTGCTAAGCACTGGGAATACATTAAAATAAAGACTGTCACTGCCCTCAAGGAGCATACAATATACTGAGGGGAGACAACACACAAAAGGAGGCAGGAAAATGAGGACCGGAGGCATCTTCTTCCATGGAGTTGAAACCAGGCAGAATAGCAGAGGCAAAGTGGACAGCAGTGTGCCATGGTGCTGAGGGGAATTATGGAGAGAAATCAGACAGCCCCTGTCTTCACAGAGCTTAAAAACTAACAGAGAGATATGAGAGGAATGCTCCAATCTCAGTACTTTGAGGATCTCTGATCTCATTGATTTGGGTGTTCCCTCCATTGTGCCAGACTTCAGGCCTCTGTCTTTCAGGAAGTGATAGCCCAAGCTTTTGTAGCCAAAGAGGCAGGTTTAGGCTCAACAAACTTCCAAACATCAGAACTACCCTACCCAATGAGATGCTTTTGGAGGCAGTGAGATCTTCTACCCTGGAGGGCTTCAAGGAGAGACAACTGGTCTGGGATGTTGCAGAATGAGCTCTTGGTTGCCTATGGGTTGGGCTATGTGGCTCCTCAAGACCCTTCCAACTCTCAGACAAATCATCTGGTGGCCAGCTTTCTAGTGAGAAGGGTCTGTGAACCCTAGCTGGACTGGTCCTCAGAAGACATACATTGGCCACTACCAGGGGCTACACCTGAAGCTTTCTTCCATCTGGGCGGGACCTGCTAGAGGTGGTATCCCACCCCATGAGCTTTTAAGAACCCAGGGTCCCCTCTAGGCACAATGACTGAGAACTAAATGCAGACGTGAAGACAAGAGAGATCAATCTCATGAATGAATGATTGAAACACTTAATAAGCACGTACTATGTGCAAAGCACTGAGCTCTGTGCTAGGGATACAACTAGAAAAGTATGACATTTCCTGCCGTCAAGGAGTTCACATTCTGAGGGGGAAGACCATACATAGGGAAGGTGCCAGCTGTAAGTCAGATGGAAAGGTTCCATAGTCCTGAGGGGTAGAGCAGCAAAGCAGATGATCATTCTCTGATATTTTTATTTAATATCACTATTACCAATGCTCTTAGGTTCAGGGTTCTGGATGTCTTCATCAGTGTCTGAGGAGAGATGGTGGTCAAGGTGGTGGTGGTGGTTTGACCTGCCTGGCACATGCTGTCTCTGGTCTAGCAAGTAGGTGGCACTGTGAATACAGTGCTGGACCTGGAGTCAGAAAGACCTGAGTTCAAATCCAACCTTAGATACTTACTAGCTGTGTGACCCTGGACAAGTAACTTAACCTCTGTCTGTCTCAGTTTCCTCAAGTATGTACCTACCTCTCAGGGTTGTTGTGAGGATCAAATGAAATCATATTTGCAAACCTTAAAGTGCTACAAAAACACTAAATATTAGTAAGAAATAACATTTATAAAATGCTTAATATAGTGCCTAGCTCATAGTAGGCAATTAATAAATGTATATTTCCCTCAGGGTGCCTTGCTGCTTCAGCGAGTTTGGCTTGCTAACTTGCAGTTGGAACTTGTTTGGCAGTATGCAAGTTATGCAAGCAAGTTATAGCAGAAAGAACATTGAGTTTGGAGCTAAAGACCAGGATTTCAGACCTATGTCTAACTTCTACTAGCCACATGGCTATAAGTTAGTGAATAGCTACCTTCAAGTGTATAAAAGGCTAATGCTTGGTAGAAGAGTCAGACTAGTTCTTGGCCCTGAAGGGCTGACCTAGTAACAATGACTGGAAACTGCAGAAACTTTGGCTGAAGAGAAGGAAAAATTCCTAATTTTTAGAGCTGTCCAAAAATAGGATAGGCTGCATCATGAGAGAGTTGAGTTCTCTAACACTCAAGGTTTTCAAGAGGAGGCATGAGAATAACAACAGCTGAGCTTGAAACACAGCTCTTAAGGTTTGTAAAATGTCTGTTAATTATCTCCAACTTCTTCTGCATATAGCTTGCTTTGGATATATGTGTTTACATGTTGTTGTCCTCATTAGATGGTGAGCTCCTCGAGGACAGAGACCATTTCTTGCCTCTTTTTACATGAGTAGCACTTAGCACAGTGCCTCGCACGTAGCAGGCACTTAATGTTTATTGATTGATATTACATATATTATCTCTTTTGAGTCTCCTAACAATCCTGTGAAATTAATATACAAGGGTCATTATCTCCACTTTTAGACAGAGGGAATCTTAAAGGTTAAGTGACTTGCCCCTGGTCACGGGTGAGGAGCTTCAGAGCCAATAATTAAACCCAATTCTCTCCTAACTCCCAGTTTAGCACTCCAGAGTCTCTAAGACCCCAACTTGGTCCCCTCCACCTATTCTGTGTTTCCTTCCCTTTAGTCATCCCTCTCTGTCAGGTACCTCTATTTTCTAGGCTATAATAATAATGATGTCATACTTCTATGCATCTTAGGAAGGAAGGAAGGGAGGGAGCGAGAAAGGAATTGATAGCTAAATGGAAGTTGGGCTGAGGCCCAACCTGCATTATAGAATTGAATATTTTATTGGATTCTTCTTAGCTGGGTACTAGGCACCTGTGGGGAATGCTTTGGGGATGGATTCATGTGCCAAAAACTTCTATGTGGTGTAGTGGAAAATGTTTTCTCTTTATTCTAACCTTCAATCTCTTCCAATCTACTGATTCCTTCTCTACAAATACACCCAGGTCTTCTTCCTACTCTCTCTCTCTCTCTCTCTCTCCCTGTCTCTCTCCTCATTATAGCCAAACTCCTAGAAAAAAAAAAAAGTCATTTATACTGATAGCTTCTATTTGCTCATTTCCCACTCAGCTCCCTACATTTTCGCTTTCAACTGTATCACTTGACTGAAACTGCCTTTCCCAAGTTTATCAGTGATTTCTCAATTGCTAGTTCCAGGGGCCTCTTTGTTTTAACTACGAAGCACCTCTTCCCCTGGACAATCTTTTCTCACTGAATTCTTCCTGTTTCTCCCCATACTTCCTTCCCTGACAGCTCCTTCTCATTCTCCTTTGTAGGATCACCATTCACATCCAACCTCCGCTCTTGGTATATGCATTTACTCAAGGGTTCTGTCTCACAATCTCTTTAATTCCCTTCTACACTCTCTTTCAGTGAGCTCACCGGTCCCCAAGTATTGTCTATGTAGATAGCAACCAAATCTACATCTCTCATCTCTCTCCTGAGTTCCAGTTTCACGTGGCCAATTGTCTACAGTTTTTCTTTATCTAGATGACCCACAGAAATATCAAATGCAAC